ATAAGGGAGGCCAGGGAAGGACAGGGGATGCGCGTGTGACGAGCACTGCAACCCACCGTTGCCACCAGTGTCGTCGCTGGCTAGTGGTGACGGGATGGCGGCGGCCACTGCCCTTGTCACAGTCAGAGTCTCATAGAGGAGGCTCTAGCCATCTCGCATACGGAAAGAGTACTAGGAAGAGAGCAACGGACCAACTTTGTACATGTATCTTTGGTTGATAATAGAGATACACTATGTGTATAGCATAAAATATTTCTATTACATATATTTAGCGCGTGTTTAGTTGGAAGAAAAGTTGGAATTTGACTAACGTAGTATTTTCGTTTTTATTTGATAATTAGTGTTTAATCATGGATTAATTAGGCTCAAAATATCGCAATTTCCAATCAAACTGTGCAATTAGTTTTTTTTCGTCTACATTTAATGCTACATGCATGTATCGCAAGATTCGATATGAGGTGAAAACTAAACACACGCTAAGTTGCCTGTGGGGATGTTGGGTTTGCGGCCACAGTCCGCCACGCCGCAAATTGTGGCTTCGCCACAGAAACTGGTTGGTTCACGCGCGAAACGAGGCGGCCACAGCAGAGTCACAGAGCAACTCTCACCGCGAAGTGTGGCAGTAAAAAATCACGCCGCAACTGCAGCACGCCATAACTTATCGCAGTTTGGACGTGGCCAGCTCCGAGCTATGGCTAGGGCTTGAATGTTTGTGGTAAGTGAAATAAGTATTCGCACGAAAAGAATTTTCATTGCATAGTTTGGACAATTATTATTTGATTAACGTCTTGAGCTCAAAAGAGTTCATGTAATTTACAATCAATTTACCAAATAAAAGTTATTTTTTTTATCTATACCCCAAAATCCAAATTCCTACGACTAAACAAAGATTTAATGTGATTTGGACGTGGCCAGCTCCGAGCTATGGCTAGTATCCAAATAGGCCCTGCATCTAGCCGCACGCTACTTGGCGCAAGATCAACGGCAAAAATATTACTTCCCAGGAAGGCCGTTCATCTCTGCATTCTTCACCTTTTTTTTTTTCTAAACCACCAACTCCCTGCCGCCACCTGCTCGACGCCTACTCCTGTGGGGAGCCTACCACTAGGTAAAAGGGTGGTGTCCTTATGTCGCGTGTGTTATTTCGTACAATTTATTGCGGTGATATATACTCCTCGTCAGTTCCAAAATAGGATATATTATCTGTATGGCCTTTAAAAACTGCACCTTTCTTCTATGTCCTTTTTTTTCTTGAACTTACCTATATAAGGTCCAAAAACGAAAATCCTTACATGTACGGCCTTCCATCGGTTTCAGGCACTTAACGACATTAAGTCAAGGGTAAAATATGGCGAAAAAAATAAAGTACAGATTTTATTTTGTTTATTTTAAAGTTGGAGTAATATTGCGCAAATAAGGTCACGCATAGCGGTACATAATAAGGCACATAATCAAATACACAAATACATTGCAATACAATTAGCTTATCAAATACATAAAAATTTGCACAAATCCAAATTTAAAATAGACAAAATAAAATTTGCACTTTATTTTTTTCGCCCCCCTGACTTAACACCGTTAAGTGCCTGAAACCAACGGAAGGCCATACAAGTAAGGGATTTTCATTTTTGGGCCTTATAGGTTCGAGAAAAAAAGGACTATGGAAGGAAGGTGCATTTTTTTAAGGCCATAGAGGTAAAATCTCTCCAAAATAGTCCCAGAATAGAGGACTTTTTAGAGTTGGGCATGCCTACCAATGTTATTATATCTAAAAGACAAAAATGTCTGTGTGAAAAGAAGAGAGATAGAGATAGAGATGTACTATATCCGTCCACAAAAGAATGCAATTATGGGAATTGTACTGTTCAAATTAACTCGTGTTTGACCAAGTTTATAGTAAACAGTATTAGCTTCAAATAAATTGATTATGAAAATGTATTATATAACTAATCTAATGTTACTTATTTTGTCTAATGAGTGTTCGTACTTTTCATATAATTTTAGTCACAGTTTAAACCGTGTGACCCCTCGAAATATGAGAATTGCATTCTTTTATGGACGGAGGAAGTATAGAAAAAAAGAGAGAAAGGTGTATTAGAAAAGAGACAGGTAAGTATTGTGGGACAAAATTTGGATGCTATTAACATCAACTATTTTTGGGACGGTGGAAGTAAATTATCAAGTCATGACTTGTGAGTACAACTAGCAGCGGCGCAACCAGCGACTTTGATTAAGAGGGGCCAGACAAATATGATGACACATCTAAGTGTGATCTATATATAATTGTATTCTCAAGAAATTTTTTATTGTTTTTTACATGTATAGTTAGTATTTGAAGAAAAATATATCATAATATATGATAACAAATAAATAAATTGAGGCTTGATGTGCCATAAATTGAAAACAAAATTAAGGGTATTATAAAGTTTTCTTATAGTGTTGGGGGGCCACGGCCCTGCTGGCCCTGGTTCCACCACTGAGTACAAGACAATGACAGGTAGTAAGGTCTTACTGCCATCTGACACCATGGAAGACTTTGTCACCGTATTACTTCCCCGGTCCCAAAATAAATGCAATTCTAGATTAGACACACAAACCGATGCTAAATGTAAAATTACAAAAATGCCCTTTGTCTTTTGTGACTATTTTTTTTTCTGGTGTGCATGTGTGGATAGAAGTATCCGAACACTGCCTTGTCTTTTGTGATAGATGGATCAAAGTAGCATTTTTGTGGGACAAATTTTAAACTATAGAGTTGCAATTATTTTAGGACGAAGGGAGTACCGTTTAAAATGGTGTACAGTATAGTCTATAATAGAAAATTTCGTACCAAATAATATCTATATATGCCTCGATATTAAATAGCAAAATAATTATCCTATTTATTGTCCACCTCCCCCTAACTACTCGACAGTGGAAAGTTCTTTCTGCTCTCCTCTTTTTATATCTCAAACTACACCTATGCACTCCGTATCATGTATGTAACCTAGACTCATGACCCGTGAGTATATATAAATTAGAACAACTCACATCTAGCGATGATTGATATAGAGTCCGGTTCCGGTACGTATTGAGTCACGTCGTCAAAGCCTGTTCGTTTTGGCTGAAACGATCGTGGATTATAAGCCAGAAGTACTGCTGGCTGGTTTGATATGAGAGAAAAATATTATTCCAGTTTATAATCCACGATCGTATAAGCCAAAACGAACAGGCCGCAGAAAAGAAGTCAAAGGCAGGCGTATCGCGCATTCGTGTCGGCGGCTGGGCCCACTTACACCACCGCAGCCGGCTTTCTCCAGAGCGTGGAGCTCATCGGAGCTGCTAACGACCCTTAATCTCGATTGATTAGGTGAACAACAAGTCTTGCAAGTCGCAAAGCCCGCCCCTCCAAAATAAAATTTTAAAAGCAACTTGACGGAAAAGCTATCTATTACATTATTAATTAAAAAAATTAAAATATATCAACATGCTAAAAGGCCGATCAACTGTTTCAAGACACAACAAACAACAGTATAAACAATTACAAGCACAACAGTATATCGTCGGAATGGTTATTTGGAACCTCAACATACGTCGCACAACATAACTTGCTACCCTTGCTCCAGTCACCTACTATAATTACGCTTGTTGGCTATCATCCTACATCGTATTACTTGGATGACAAAATCCAACATATCGATATGCCATTGTCATTACCTGTGTCATCATCATTGACGATGCCCCATATCGATGTAGCCACTACCATGTAGGGCTAGTCGCCGCTGTTCGCTGCAAGCCATGTATACATCATGACTTCAGGCCTGTCCGCTTGCGCATTTATTGACATTGTCCCACACCAAAGTAGCTCCTAATAAGCATAACTAGCCGCCATGCCCCGCTGCAAGTCGCTAAGTTGATACGTGAGCAACTGTCTCTAACCGTTACCATAATGTCCACATCCTCTACGATTTGGTTGTATATATCGCATCATTCAACAACCTCGACACCTCATCGAGAATAGAAAAAAAGTCAGGTTGGATCTTCAATTTCCAACAAAAGGCCTCATGCCGGAACGACCAGCCACAATATAGGAGTAACCTCTGCATGCCATCATCTCTCGTGGCAGCCTCCATACCAACTTTGTGGACACCGTCACCCAATAATTGCCATACTACAGCTGACTGTAACAAGTTTTTTTTGGACACCACACAGCGGTTATTACCACATCTTTTAGAGCAAGAGACGCAGTCACAGTTTTTTAACAACCATTCATTCACAGATCAGCATCTGCTGTGGGTAGTTAGCAAATACTACCCGTCAGGGATCTATTAATGGATTCTGGATAATGTCCAAGCGGGAATCCGAAATGCCCGTTTTCCACCGGTACGTCAACGATTTACACACATTCCCCCTGTCACGTGGGACCAGAAACGGCGGGAGCCACATGTCAGATACGTAATTCGCACGCCGTCTGGTGCGTCTGAGCTCAGTCACAAGAGAAAACGATGTGTCCACCGGCGAACTGACGGCTCCGTCACGCGGCGAACGATAAAAACGCCGCGAGGCCACCACGCGAGAGGAACGCGAAGGAAGTGCGGAAAATAGGCCCCTTTTCCCCCCCTTCTTCTTCTCGTGAGAGATATTTCGGAAGAGGAAGAAGTGCGTGCCTTCCTCGCAGCTCATTCGTCGCCGAGGTACAAGCCCCTGCCTTTCCTCCCATTTCGTCCCTGTTCGTCGGTAATCGTTTCCGAACCTTGCGTTTCGTGGGATTTATCGAGGCGAGGGCTTCGATTTGACCCAGGAATCGCCCAAATCCGCTCGTCTTCGACTTCGGTTCATCCCCCGAAACGAAATTTCTAGGGTTTTAGTGTCAATTTTATCCCCCTTCGTTACATTTGATTGGAGGTGGATTGGGCCCCGTTCTGATGATTCCCTGGGTTCGTTGGATGCCAGGGCACGAGATCCTCTAGAGGTTTGTGCTGTTTGGCGTGAAATTTTGGGAGCGATTTGCTTTTGCTCACATGGGGGATCATGTCGCGGTGGATGTTGGGGAGCTCGTAGCGTCCCGAGTCGGTGAGGCAGCCGGGTTGGTGTCCGGCGGCAAGGAGGAAACGGAGGCGCTGATTGGGATGGTGGAGTGCCGCATTTGCCAAGACGAGGACCTCGCAAAGAACCTCGAGAGCCCCTGCGCTTGCAGCGGCAGCCTCAAGGTGCGTGCTGCCTTATTTCTCTTCATTCGAACCAGAAACTCTGGGCCCATTCCATGTTGCTTATGCTGTTTGCCTCTGGTTCATTCTATTGTCAATTCATAGATGATAGATAAATTCTTAAATCTAAGTATCTAAAATGCAAGCAAAATATCACATTGAGACTTAAACCTGAATCTTTGTTAGGACATAACATAGCTGTTGGATCCCATGCTGGTTGCTAACTAATGTGCTCAGTATAAGTTGTTACTTGAGATGTTCTGGCTTTTCAGATACATGTCCATATGAGGTTCCTCTTTTCACTTTTTTGTGATACAAAACCTGTTTGGTGCTGTGGTTCATGATATTTTCATGAAAAAGTAGTTACACAAAGTGATGCTAGTATGAGTGGATATCCTTTTTCCCTTGATATTTTCATGAAAAAGTAGTTGCACAAAGTAGTTGCATGCTTGGTTTAATCGTCGATGTTGCTTAAAGAGTAGGACATCCTTTTCCCTTGTTGTTAGCTACTTTGCAAGCTTAACAAACAAGTCACAGGGGCTTGGTATCTTGTGTGGGTTGCCTTCAACTGAAGACTTCGGTCATTGTTATTGTTTAAAAGTGGTCTAACTGCTTACCTAAGTTTGTCTTTAACCATCCTATATGTGCAAGCCATTGTGTAAACCCGTTTGCTAATTTTGTTTATACTGCATATGTTTGTACAGTATGCTCACAGGGAATGTGTGCAGCGTTGGTGCAATGAGAAAGGAGATATAACCTGTGAAATCTGCCATGAGGTAAACAATTGTTTCCTTCAACTACTACTCCAAATGTAGCAAAATGGAAACTAATGCATGTATGGTTTTGTTATTTCTTGTATAAATAAGACATAAATGATTGATTTTGTCCCTTTCGTTTTCTTTGAAAGTTTTTCATTAGGCTAAATAAGTGTCTTGCTTTTTGTATTTTAAACAACGTTTTGGGTGCACCTGGTCTTAATGCATGGTATTATTATGTTTCCAGCTATTGTTTAAACATAGTAATTAATTTGTCAAGATGTACTAGGGCCTGCCGTAAGCAAAAGGGATGTTCACGTCCAAGGATCCTTTCACGAGCAAAAGAGGGTCATAAGCTTGCATCATAAGAAAAGCTATTTTTTTTAGCTGAAAAGATTTTGTATCATAAATTTAATAATAATTTTCATGAATTTGAATCCTCACCGATTACCTTCTCTGCACTATGTTCGCCTTTGCAGAGATGTTTATGCTTCCTTGCTAATTTGACTGCAAACTTTGTTGCTGTAAATAGATTATGAAATTTCTCTGTTTATCAGTCGTACAAGCCTGGTTACACTGCCCCAACCCAGGTGCATCATGATGAAACTACCATAGAGATAAGGTGTGTTATCTCTACACATCAAGCTAACCTTTTTAACTTCTATCCTGGTGTTTATGCGAATGGTATTTCTGTGTGATTATAAAAAAACTGTCGTTGTACACAGTAATTTATAAATTTCTGTTGGTATCTCATTTTTGCATTATTTTAATTATCTCTAGTGGTGGAGATTGGACCATCTCTGGCAACCGTTTGGATTTACATGATGCTAGAATATTGGCAATGGCTGCTGCTCAAGACCGTTTACTTGAAGATGAGTATGATGAATATATTGGAACAAACAACAATGCTGCTGCGTTTTGCCGCTCTATATTTCTGATTGTGAGTTTTTGTGCTTTCTATTATAGAAATATATGTATTATTTTACCTCTATTATGTCAAGACAATAAATCTGTAGAAAGGTCAAACATCTCTTCTATTCAATGGACCTTGTGCGGTTGTGCCTGACCCCTTACCTTTTCTCCTCAAACAACAACTAAAGCTCTTGCTGCTTATTTAATTCTAAAAGTTGCATCTTAGATTCTTAGATATTTTGGTTTCTTTATATTATTATTGCTCAAATATATTTATCTTTCTTTTTTAGTGTTCCCAGTTTTACTATGTAATATTAAGTGATATTGAAGTGTCGCTATCTCTGTTCAGTTGATGGCCCTTCTGCTCCTGAGGCATACACTGACCATTACTAACAGTGATGATGAAGATGACGCATCTGCTATTTTCTCGGTTAGTGATTAATACGCTGTATATCTCCTATGGATTTTTTTTTGTTGATGTAGAGTTAACTGACTGTTGATCTTTGACAGCTATTTCTTTTGAGAGCAGCTGGATTTTTGCTGCCATGCTACATTATGGCTTGGGCTATTAGTATCATGCAGCGTCAAAGACAAAGACAGGTTGGTGGCTTGGTGCTAATGGAAATGTTTTTCTCTTTCATGTGTTTACTGTCTTGATTCTTGAGGAAAAAGAATTCCACAACTCTATTCATACCTAGCATCGCATTGAATAATACTCCCTCCATCCACAAAAGAATGCAACTATAGGATTTGTGCAAGTCAAACTAACTTAACTTTGACTAAGTTTATAGTGAATAGTATTAACATTTATGTCTCTAACTAGGTTTACTATGAAAATATATTTCATAATTAATTCGATGATACTTGTCTTGTATCATAAATTAGTATTTTTTTCTATATAACTTTGGTCAAACTTCAATTCTTTTGACTCCTTTTGTCGTCGGAGGGAGTATATCAACAGTTAAGCAACCTAAGATTTTCCCCTTTGGTAGCATGCATATCCTTGTTTGAACTTGGGGGTTGGGATCTTGGGATGACCGTATTTGTCCTTTCTGATCAAACATGAGATTTCTAGGTCAGAAAAGTTTGATCATTCATTGTCTGGTTCAAATTTCAGTAGTTTTGTACCCCATTAAGTGCGTGGGTTGGGCTACGTGGAGTCTTTATGCTAAATTGACATACCAATTAAGAACACATGGTTCATGTTGTTCATTTTGATACGTCAGGAAGAAGCAATGCTATTGCCAACGGAAGTGGCGATCATTCTGCACCGGAACGGAAGAACAATGCAATTTGCGGTGGCACCACCAGAATCTCCTACCTCACCTCAGCCCGAGCCAAACCAATAGAATACATCAGTGACAGGCTCACGAGTGCATAACAGATGCTTAGCATCTGGGCATAAAGGTGGAAACTCGAGGACATCGTGCAAAGCCTGTTGCCTCGGCCACCTCGAATGGTCATGTTGCAGCAAAAATGTTGTGCCTTTCTTCGAATTGAGTTAACTTTCCAGCTGAGATTCAATGCTTGTTTGATGGGCTCTCAGCATCTTCTGTACATAAAGAGATTTCAGTAATAAGTGAATATAAGTTAAATCAACACAAAATTTGATTTTGTACTGTGGCATATACGACTATACGAGTTGACAGTTGACACATGCAACCGATCACATATTGCTGAACAGATTTGTTAAGGGCAGTGTAAAGCAAAAAAAAAAAAACTGCTCAATTCGTTTGTAAGTAACTGTAAATCCGGGGTGACTACCAACTGCAGAGCTATGGAAAGCATATATGATCATGTGTTGCAAACTTGCAATGAAGCGTTCGACCCTGCAATTCTCGTATTTCGAGAAATCAAACGGTTTCAACTTTGACTAAAATTATATGAAAATATACCAAGACTCATGAGACAAAATAAGTATCATTAGATTAGTTATATAGAATATATTTTCATAATAAATTTATTTCGAGACATAAATGCTAATACTATTTACTGTAAATTTAGTCAAAGTTATGCTAGTTTGACTGACACGTTTTCCATAATTACATTCTTTTCTGGAATAAGGGAGTATATGAGAAGACCTTGTTGCACACGGATGCTGAGGAGAGAGAGAGATGTTAGTAAGCAAGTCTTGTGCATGTGGGTTAGACGACTATCTTGCAACAACTTCTGCAGTGCAAGAAGGGACGGTTGCAGAAATAGAAAACAACTGGTCATGTTTGTTTGTTTGTTTTTTGAGAGGACAACTGGTCATAGTTGAGATAAAGCATCAGCCACCTGATTATTAGTTCCCTTCTCATAGACAATCTTCTACTGCATACCTAGAAGTTTAATAACAACCTTTTGTTTTCCAAGGTGCATGAAGTCTGCTAGATGCATCGAACTCTTTTGATCAGTAAAATTTCAAGAACACAACCAACTGTAAGCAGCATCACCATTGATCCACCACAATGAGGGCCATAAACTTCTTTTCATAGGTGGGAATACCTTGGTTTTCGGGTCCAAGAGATTTACTTATGAAAGCAAATGTGTGTCCCTCCACAACAAGGACAGCTCCCACACTATTCTAGCAAATATCCGTTTCAATGTAGAATTGCTTGGTAAAATCTGGAAATGCCAATACAGTAGCAAAATGTTTGACAAATTTACTATTAAATCCCGCTAAACCAAAGAAACTTCTTAGCTCTTTCACATTAGTAGGAATGGGCTAGGATAACACAACTTCCACCTTAGAAGGATCAATGGCAACACCTTTGATCACTTATCGCATGGCCCAAGTAGGCAATATGATTTTGTGCAAATGTACACTTGGACAACTTAACATACCATTGCTCCTTGGCTAGTAAGGATAGCACTTGCTGCAAATGTTTTTTGTGTTTAGCATTAAAAAAATCTTAAATTAAGATGCCTAAAGGGACCGTGACGCCTAAACCATGGGGAAAGGGGGGTTGTTGTTGTTGTAAATTAGGCAACTTGAAAACTACTTCTAAAGCTAAGGCGTACAAGTTATGCAAGAAACTAATCTATTTAGATGTGCAATTAAGATTTTGCTAGGTGTGTTGCTATCCTACCGCATATGCGACCTAGATTCCAATCTTATAACTAGCCTAGCAAGCTAAGCTAGGAAAGTGAGCAACTCCAACAGCTTGGCTAAAATTCGTAACCAAATTCCATAGTTTAGCCATTTTATAAAATAGAAAACTCCTTAAAAATGAAGAGGTCTACAGCAACCTTGCTATTTCTCATCTTCAGATAGCTAGTGCTCATGGTTGGCTATATATGGCCACCTAAAATCAATGGATAACTAGTTTCCTATTTTACAAAACTAGATAACACATCTGTTGGAGCCTACTTTTTACTATGCAAATTCTAAAATAGCCTCTAAAACAAGAATAGCTAAGCTCTTAGAGTTGCTCTAAGTGCACAGTCTAGGTAAGCAATAAATAAAGTGAGAGGCAATCGGGTGAACCAATTATAATATGGTGATTTTGTTCTTAATGTAAACAATATCAGCAAAAACCAGATTGTGAGGAAAAAAACAATAGGAAACAGAAACTCTACTTCGCGACCATCGCGTGACAGCGCGATCCTCCTCTCACGCGCCCGCGCCCGCTCCCACCCACGCCCCCACCTGCGCCGGTGAGCTCCTCCCTCCCTCCCCTCCGGCAGTGGTGGCGGCGGCGGCACCAACGAGGTAGGAATCCTCCTCCTCCTCCTCCTCCTCCACGCGACGACACCCACGCCCAACCGTGCCCGGGTCTTCTTCCCCAACTCCGGTTGGCGGCTAGGGTTCCGGCGACCGCGCCCCACCCTTCTTCCCCAAATCCGGTGGGCTCTAGAAGGGGTTGGCCGGGGGGAGGTAGGTTGGCTAGGCGGTGGGGAAGGAGGCCGGGCGGCTTAGGGACCCTGGTGGCGGCTAAGGAGGTCGGGCCAGTGAGGGACATGGCCGAAGCTCGGAGCTCGGCATCGCCGACGAGCATGGAATGACAGAGCTCCTGCGAGAGGGGGGAGGGGAAGAGGGCGGCCACAATGGGTGCGTCCGGGCGAGTCGGTGGCCGGCGGCGGGAGCGGTGTGGGGGGTACGACCCTGGATACCCACGACAGACTACATAGGCTGTAGCGCCAGGGGTGGTCCAGCCCACAAGACGAAGCCTTGCGGAGCACGACGCTGCTCGGCGCGCCCCGTAAGACACCGGGAAGATATCTTGAAGATACGGCGTAATCTGTTAGGATATGTTACGATCATGTGATCCCTGTAATCTGTTATTACTTACCGGATATCTCCTAGATCTAACCGACTTGTAACTCTATCCCCCGGCTATATAAGGCGGGTAGGGGACCCCCTCAAAACATACGCAATATCATACGATAGCCAATACAAACCAACATACCACAGGAGTAGGGTATTATGTCGTGTAGACGGCCTGAACCTGTCTAACTCTTGTGTCTCTGTTGCCTTCTTGTTCTTGATTACGCGCACCACTGCTGATCAATCTACCTTCATGGGATACCCCTTGGAGGACTGCCGACGATATTCTATCGACAGTTGTCGTGCCAGGTAGGGGTGTGCGTGCTGTTTCCATGACGAACAAGATGGTACATTTTGCAGCCTTTTTGTCCTCTCCAAAGCCCGGCCAGATCTTTACAGTCGGTTCAATCTCCTGGGTCATCAATGCTGACGGAGATGGAGAGATCATTGAGCCAGTGCAGATCGATTCTGCACCGACCACACCAACACCTGCAACAGCAGATCCGATCTCGGAACCGCCTCCGAGGTCATCTTCACCAACAACTCGCCGCCTGCTCCCCCGCTACCCGAGGAAGCATATCGACAACGATGATCTGATCGCATTCATCGATCAGGTTGGCCAGAAGCTCGCCGACTACCTCTCCCTCGTGGAATCGGCTCTGACCACTCTGGTTCAGCGCCGACCATCCTCTGATTCCGATCTATCGGAGGCCAATCAGGAAACTCCAGGGGTTACAACCACCATCCATCAGGATGCCCTAAGGGACAAGTTCACCGACCGGATGGGAGACATCTATCCCCTCGCCGACCCGATCGCCGACCAGCTCTCGCCGACTATTAATATGCTGCAAATCGGCCAACGTCTCGAAGATTCCCTCCACACCATCATAGAGGAAAATCCAGACTCCGAGTCCCAGGGCTCTACGGAGACTGTTGCCGAAATCGCCGCCATCCAACCTCCTTTTCTACCCTTTCGAGGAGGCGGGATTTTTAATGTCAGCATCGACAGCCCTCCGCGGGATAGAGAAACCGATGAGGACCGCGCAGCTCGTGTCAATAGAAATGCCAACCATGCGCAGCGCCGAGCGAATGAAGTTGCCATTGTGTTAGTCGAGGCTGCTCGCAATGGAGAACAACTCGACTCGCAAGGGAGGCCACACCCACTCCGCCGCAACCTCGATGACGAATTCATCCGTGTGGACGGCCACGACGTCTACAAGACCCCAAGCGCCAACTTGGTCGTGGTCGCTAATGAGCTCGCTCAGCTAGAGCAAACGCCAGAAGTCACCAAGGTCGCCGCAATGCTTAAAGCTGCGCACTACCAGGTCAACGAGATCCGCCAAGATCAGGGACCTTCCTACTCAACAAGCTCGAATCGCCGATCTGCCACGCCAAGATCCAATCGTCGCCTCGGCAGAAGCCGTTTAGCCGACTAGCATCGTGATGATGGACGACCCCTCCAGGGGGAGCTAGGGGGAACCGTATCGACTACCCTCGCCAACATGACCAAGAAGTCGATCATGATGTCTGAGCGCACATCAACAATCTCCGGAATGCACGACGTCATATCAATGGGTGCCGATTCTCTCAGCATGGGGAGGAAGTATGCCGGCATCAAGAATACGAGCAAGAATTCGGTAATCCGGATGCAGCTCTCCAGCCACTTAACGTTGGCAATGCCACCGATCACGACGGTGACGATCCCGAAGGGCCCCGAGCATTCACAAGAGCACTCCGAACACTCTAGTGGCCCCGTGGTTTCAAAATCACCGGGGTCGAGCCCTACGAGGGGTGGATGAACCCCACACAGTGGCTACAAGTTTATGCCACCTCTGTGCGTGCCACTAGGGGAGATACCAATGTCATGGTGAACTATCTTCCCGTCATGCTCACGCCGACCGCGATGAACTGGCTCATGAGCCTCGCCCTAGATTCCATCGAATCTTTGGAACAGTTGAAGAAGGTCTTCACCGACAATTATATGCCTACGTGTACTCGGCCGAGCACCAAGCACGATCTGAATCGCATTTATCAGAAACCGTCCGAGCTCCTCCATAGTTACATCAGACGATTTTTCGAGATGAGGAATTCTATTACCAA